TATGTATATTATCACTCTTTGTACCCGCTTTTATCCCATTCAAACTCTACATTACGAAGCAAGATGATCATAATATGTGATTTTTAGCTTGTATATATCAGTTTGTGGTGCATCGGAAACTGTATTTTTTACGCAAAACGAGTACAAACTAGAGCACATTTCACGAAATCTAGATGACTATGTTGAATTTGGCACCATAAAGGTGGAGGTCTAAGAAAAAATCATAGTTGAGGGGTAGATGTAATTATCCAAACAAGAGGGTTTTTTTTGTAATTTGACCATACCTCAAGGGTATTTGTATTTTACCCTTATTATTATTATTAAATAATGTTTATGTTTTTTGCAGCATGCACCACTGATCTTTGCGATGCTTGCTGTTACTGCAACGTTCGGCTAATCCCGCCGGTATGTGAAAGATGCTGCTAGCCTAAAATCTAATTAGTATATATATATATATATATATATATATATATATATATATATATATATATATATATATATATATATATATATATATATATATATATATATATATATATATATATATATATATTCTCTGATTATTTCCAATGTAATAATTATCAACTATGTTATAAACTAGTTGCGATTTCTATTTGGATGAAATAGAAATTCCATTTTTTTATGTTGATCGATCCTCATTCTTATCGAAAGTGTTATTAAACGACCCACATTTTTTTCGACTAATTGAACTTCTTTTAAGGAATGAATGAAAGGAAATATACAACACAACCGGAATATATATAATTTGCACCGTTGATTTGCATCTTTGATCAAATTATTCTTACAAATATATTTTGTATTTGTAATTATTATTATTAAAAAATGGGTAAATTACAACCACTCATGAGGTATGATTAAATTATAAAAATCCCCCTCCTGTTTGGTTAATTACAACCACCCCAAACTATAAATCTTCTTACACGTTCACTCTTGCGGTTTCAAATTTAGTGGAACCTTCGAGATTATATGGAATATTATCACTTTTGTATCCGTTTTATCATATTCGAACCCCACATTTTGAAGCAAGATGATCATAATATGTCTTTTTTGGCTTGTATATATCAGATTGTAATGCATTAAAAACTGTATTTTTACATAAAATGAGTACAAACAAAGCACATTCCACGAAATCTAGATGATTTATGTTGAATTTGATACCATAAGGGTGAAGGTGTGAGAAAAAATCATAGTTGAGGGTTTTTTCGAAAATTGATCATACATGAGGGATGGTTGTAATTTACTCTTTAAAAATAGACCCGTTTATAATTTTTATAAATAATATATTGAAAATCTTAAATATAAAAAAAGTTATTGAGTCAATAACACATTAATGAAATAGAAAAGAAGATAAAAATTAGAAAAAAAAGGAGAATATTTTCATTATTAAATAAGACTCTTTGTTTTTTTTTCTTTCTAAAATTAGATTTATCAAATCAATTTCTTAATTAATGTATATTTTACCTTAAACAAAAATGAAAACTGATTAGTGGGACCCACCCGCTCATAAGCTGAAAGTGAAAGGTCAAACAAGAAGCGCGTGGAGTTTGACTTGTTTTCTACTTACGTATCAACGCGACCATTTTTCAAACAGGTGGTCGGCATCAGAATTTCTGTACGGATGAGCAAAGCAGCTCTGTAATCTCGAAAAAACAAATGGCGACTTGCGCAGTAAACGGAGGCTGCCCCAGCGATTACGCGGCGGTCTCCATCTCCCTCCTCTCTATTTTCCTGTAAATTTCTCGTTGCCTTTTTCTTCGGAATGTCAATTTTGTTTTGTAAATGGGTAGTTAATTCATATATACAGCAGCTGTTTTGTGTTGTCATTTTTGTTTAATTAGTATTATACTCGATTATTTTCCTTGGGCAGTTACTTCTTTGTTGATCCGGAGTGGGCTTTCCTTTGATAAGTAATTTATGTGAACAATTTCGTTTATTTTAATGGAAATTGGAGCTGTGATTTGATTTTTTTTTTTGTGTGGTTTTTGAGGATTTGGTGCTGAATTTAGTTTACACAGAGTGATTCAATATGCAAATTCACAGAGATTCCTTTCGGTGATAATTGCATTTCATTTTCGAGAAACCTTGATTTGGGGGAAAATTTTATAATGAAAGTAACGTTTTGTTTATATTTCGGGGGAGACGAATCACTGTACCAGTCAAATCGTGTTTAAAAAAATTAAGTGTTTTAACAGACGAATTTGAAAAATAAAGTGACGTTTGTTTGTTTTTTAAGTAAAAAAAATCGAGAGAAATTTTCCGAATTGTTTTGGGGAAAGTTTTTTTGGAAGAAAATGAAATGCTACGAAACATTGCATAAAGCTTAATCTTCTTCTCGGGGGTCTCGAAATAATTTGCTAGTTACCAGTGGTTAATTCGTGGGGATTAATTGCGTGCAGGCTTATCGGAAAGGCTGTTGCGCCTCATCTAATCCACAAAATCGCACTACCTAAAGGCAGTAGTTTTTGGCTCGTCACAATACAAATTATTGCGAGCTTCAACCTTATAGTTTCAATTGTGGTATAGTTTCTTTTAACATGATTTCTTTTTTCGTTTCCGATGATTAAACCTTCTATGTTTCGAGTGTGCGTCTTATTTTTGGATATTTACTACACAGATGTCCCTCGGTTTTTTGAGGTTTAAAAGGGGCCATTGGTGGAGTTCGTGCTATATATGGGCTGGTAACTCTACTTATTACTATATATTGTTTATTTATTGTTATTTTAATATGATTTCCCTGCACAAGTTGATAATCGAAAACGTTCTGTTGCTCCCAGTTTGGGTTGAAGGTCCACTAGGATTTGGCTTGCTGTTGAGCTCCCGTATTGTACAAGCGTTTCAACTGTATTACATATTTGTTAGGTAAGTGATAACTTTTTTCAAAGTAATAACGCGTTTTTCACCATTATTTCCGTTTTGATGCTTGTGATTTTTTTCAGGAGGCGTTTGCCACCCATTAGATCGTTTATATTTCTTCCACTGGTTCTCTTGCCCTGGATTATTGGTGCAGCATGTAAGGACCATTTTTAAGCTATTGTTAATTAGTTATATTTGATTCTTTAAAGAAAATTCCGATACTAAATCCCTGAAAATAATTTCTTGAAAGAGTAATTAAGATTTAATGTAGCTGGAACGCTGCAATTTATATTTCAATCCGCTTAAGACTTTGCTAATTATCGAAAATATTATAAACATCGATGCAGTTCTTCACACGAAAAAGCCTCTAAACAACCGTTGCCACATGCGAACTCAGTGGATAATCCCAGTTATTTGCCTTCACGCGTTATACGTAGCTGCTATGGTTGGTTTCACAGCCGCAATTCGACATATAGAATTCAGATTCCACGAACTGAAGGACCTCTGGCGCGGGATTTTAGTCTCCACTTGTTCCATTGGTATAAATAATACAATATTTATTTATTTAGTATTCGTTTATTTATTGTTGTATGTGTATCTATCTCGTGGTTCACTTCAAATTTTTTTTTTTCTGTTAAAAAGGGATTTGGGTGATCGCGTACATTCTGAACGAGACTCACGAAGATATTCCATTGGTTCAAATCGTTACGAGATTTTTAATACTAGTTATGGTATTTATTGCATCGACTTCCGTTTCTTGATTTTTTCGTCTTCGAAAACATGCATGCATATTTCCTTCTCATTTCGTAAAATTCTCTCTCCAGACAAGTGTCCTCGTGCTGGTGTTCTTCTCTATCTCAATTTCGCAACCTCTTCTCTCACTAATGAGCTTGAGGAAAGACGAACACCAAGAGTACAGTATGATGATGGGCCGGGCCTTGGGTATACCTGATAGCGGGCTTTTAGTACGAACGGAATCACTGCAGTCGGTAGATTCCAACGAGCCCTTTGATAAGCTCCTTTCGAACAGAAGATTTCGTCAATCGTTCATGGAATTTGCTGATAGGTGGTTCACCTTTTTGCCTATTAGTAAATCAATACCTCGTTTTTTTTTTGTCTTTTTAATAACAATTTTTACGTATTCGGATAATGCAGCTGTTTGGCTGGGGAGAGTGTCCACTTCTACGAGGAGGTGCAACAGCTTGACCGAATTCCAGATAGTGATCATGTGAGAAGAATTTACATGGCACGTCACATTATTGACAGATATATAGCTCCAGGTATCATATTTTTTCTTTGGAGTTTATTGCATTAAGCACCCCTGTGTTTGGTCTAATTGTTAAAAATGTCCCCTTGTTATTATTATAGTTGGCAAAATTCCCCCTTTAATGCAATTTTTTTAGCAAATTACCCCCTAAAAGCTCACACTTTTGGAGTTGTGTGCTAAAATAAGCCTTATAGTGGGGTTTTTGCTAATATTTATAACGTTGGGACTTTTTAAGCAATTCAATATAACATAACACTGGGTATTAAATGCAATAAACTCTTTTTCATCAACGTTTCATTTTGTTCAATCTATCCTACACAGGTGCAACAATGGAGGTGAACATTTCTCATCGATGTCGGCAAGAAATTCTATCGACTCTTGATTTAGCACACGCCAATCTCTTCAAAAATGCACTAATCGAGTTAATACATTTGATGAAAATGGTTAGTTAATTTTTCACGAACCTTCATATTCCCAATAAGTTTGTAAATTCATTTTTCCTCTACTCGAAACCGATCTTTCTTTCTTTCTTTTTTTTTTTTTTGAAGAATTTGGCAAATGATTACTGGTCATCGACGTTTTACATGAAGCTGAAAGACGAAGCTGCAATGAAAACAGTTGACCACGAGCTAGAAACGGGCGGTTGGAATTTCTCGCAGAGGCTGAGTTCTGTTCATTGCACCGATGACCCTTTTCATCAAGAACATAGCCCTAGAAAGCTCGGCTCCAGTACTAATCGTGATACCGAGTTGCAATTACGAGAAAAATTCCCTTAATTTTGAGCAACTTCTTGTTGCAAATTAAATGTTTATATATTTTTTTTTATTATTATTATTTTGCTTAAATAGTTGACAAATTTTGTATCATAGGAAAAGTTGGAAGTTTTGTAGGTTGCGGAATGTTGTTGTAAACACTATGTAAATCAATTTAGCAGGAAGTGAAACATGAAGAAATTAACCACATTGCAAAATGTAAACACGAAGTTAGGACAATTCATTAAAATGACCTAAAGAAGCCCTTAAACAAGAAGTTCGGATAATTTCGAAAGGTTAAGCCGTAATTTGATTGACATTAGATAGAGATTCGGCTATCGATATAATTCTACTGGATTAACGTAGTCGGTTAGATCATTAATTAGGGATTTGAGCCTATAACATCTCATATTGGTAAGCTAGACACGAAGACTTTGATTATAGAGCTCGTTTGAAATCGATTCGATTATTTATCCAATCCGATTCGATTCGATTCGATTAGTACTTTCTTCTTCAAGTACATAATATAACTATATATATAGTAAGAAGAGATCCACTGGTTCTGAGTCCACTCACCACCCAATGGAGCTGCAGAAAATTTTAATGGTAGCAGCAGCCTGTATAGGATTCATTAACCTTTCCAAATATCTTCTGAAAATCCTCCAATGGATATGGATCACGTTCTTCAGACCCGGGAAAGATCTCAAACAACAATACGGGTCGTGGGCTCTGGTCACCGGTTCGACCGACGGAATCGGCAAAGCCCTAGCTTTCGAATTGGCGGCGAGAGGTCTGAACCTCGTACTCGTTGCCCGAAACCCTATAAAGCTGAAATCCACGCTCGAAGACATCTTGCAGAAGCACGGCGGGATCGCCGTGAAAACTGTGGTCGTCGATTTCTCGAATTGCGGAGGGGAGGAGATCGCGAGGGTAATTGGGGAAGAAATTAGGGATTTGGATTTGGGGATTCTGATCAACAATGTCGGATCGGCGTACCCGTACGCGAGGTTCTTCCACGAGGTTGATCCGCAGTTGTTGGAGAGTGTTGTGAGGGTGAATGTGGTGGCTGCAACTTGGGTTACGAAGGCGGTGGTACGAGGTATGCTGGAGAAGAAGAAGAAGAAGAAAGGCGCCATTGTTAACGTTGGATCTGGTTCTTCATCCTACTGTGTTTCCTCTTACCCTCTCTACACCGTTTACGCCGCCACCAAAGCGTAAGTGGTATAAATTCAGTGTCTTCAAATTTCCGACACGAATCTTTAAATGCAGCTTGAAGTTATGTATGAAATAACTTTTTTTTTTTTGGTGATTTTTGTGTTTAGATACGTGGCGATGCTATCGAAAAGCATGAGTATGGAGTATAAGCAGCATGGAATTGATGTACAATGCCAGGTTAGTTCATTATCCACCATTAATGAATCTAGAGAATTTTGATGAAGCTAACCTAACTGTCATGTTTGTTTGTTTGTTGATGCATTAATTGTGTTCACAATTTTCAGACATAGATAATAACTACTTCATTAGTTGCAAATAATAGGCATATTCCTCTATGTTAATCTCAATGAGACAAAGATTATCGGTAAATTATAGGGTAAATTACGGCCACCTTCGTGCTGTAATGTCAAATTACGAAAAAAAACCTTTATGTTTGGGTAATTACAGCCACCTCCTCAACTATGAATCTTCTTACATATATCAAATTCAAACTAATCGTCTAGATTGAATGTTCTCTAGTTTGTACTCGTTTTGTGCAAAAATACAGTTTCTGATGCATCACAATCTGGTATTTACAAGCCAATAAACACATCTTATTTCAAAATGTGGAGCTCGAATCGGGGAAAATGGGTGCAAATTGCAGAAATTCCGCAAGGGTGAACGTGTAAGAAGATTTATAGTTGAGAGGGGCGGTTGTAATTACCAAAACATGAGGGTTTTATTCGTAATTTGACCTTACCTTAGAGGTGCCCATAATTTAATATGGTCCTCAAGTTCATAAGATGGAGACAAAGAAATAAATCAATTCAATTCAAGAAACAAGTAGTGCACATTTTACTATATAAATTAGAATCTCCATTGACAAAAGGATTTGCAATATTTTGTGTTTACTGTGTGCTGTAATTAATGACAGATTCCATTGCTTGTGGCAACTAAAATGGCATCAATAAAGAAGCCATCATTCTTCATTCCATCTCCAGAGACATACAGCAAAGCAAGCATCAATTGGATTGGCCATCATGATCAAATCTGCTTGCCCTATTGGCCTCATTCCTTACAGGCTGCAGCTATACGCTTATTACCGGAGACATTTCTCGATCTTTGTCTGCTCAAGTATTTCGTTGGGATGCGAGCACGAGGGCTGCGTAAGGATTCTAAAATCGGCCATTTGAAAAGTCACGGGTAGTAATGATCCTGCTAAATATTAGTTCGGAATTCGGTTTCTTTAATGTGTAACTAAATTGCGGGCGTGTGAATTGGTTTTTCGTAATACGATTGATTTGGTTCTTGATAGGAGAATGCATGCTTAATCTGATGTAGAGGGCTGAAGATCGATCCAAACTACACATTTTTGGTTTTGAGATTATTGGGTTTTTAAGATAATGTACCAAGTTTGAACACATTTTCGTTCGATAAGTTATGGAGGTCGGCACAAGCTCGATTAATAGAAATGGACAACATATGTAGGGAAAATTGCACATCACCCCCTGTAAATTTATAATTTTCGCACTTTAACCCTCAAAATTTTTAAAAGTGAAAGTCCCCCTTCAAAATGTTATTCCTGTTGCACATTGCCCTAATAGTGAAACTCCGATGTGTTATTCATCGAAGTTGAATATTTTAGTTGCAAGTTGCCCCTTTAAATGTTATTTTTGTTGCACGTTGCCCCTTAAATGTTATTTTTGTTGCACGTTGCCCCTTAAAAACACAACTTCTTTGCACATTGCCCCTCTAAAGTGTTATTTTTGTTGCACAACCCCCTCCAAAATTGGTTTCTGGGGCAAAGTGCAACCAAAATAATATATCGAATGTGGAGTATCCAGTTTTTGAATTTTTAGGGGTGAAATTGCAAAATGGGAAATTTATAGAGGGTGAAATGCATTTTGTCCAAATATGTATTAAAACAAAATCAAGCAACTTCATTTTGATTTATGTTTGGCAAGCATGTTCGAGCTCGACTCGATTTGCAATTGCTTATCAAATCGAGCTCAAACACAAGTTTCAAAAATCTAGACAAAAAATCGAAACAAGCTCAAACAAGATTTTAACAGGATTAAGAAATAAAAGATCACGTGCCAAAAAACAATGTTGCAAGAAAAAGTGTGATTAATTAAGACAATGAGGATACAATTACTTGCAAATTAAATTACATGCAATATATAAATAAAAAGAAATTTATATACCCTTAATTTTTTCTTCTTCATCTTCTCAATCGGATCTCATCCTGTTAATCTGGTTCAAAGCAGGCTGCAAGATATTGTACGCCACCCAAATCAACGCCGGCGACACAACTAAAAGCAACAGCTGCCCCCTGTTGTCGGCGGCGGCCTCAGCCACGGCGGCAGAAGCCTCCGGCGCGTGGAAGAAGCCCGAAGCAGCGAGCCCGCCGAGCCCGAGCCCGATTATGACGCCCTTGGACCTCATTCTGTTGATCTGGTTAAGGGCAGGCTGCAGTATGTTGTACAGCACCCAGAGAATGGCGGGGATCAAAGGGAGGAGGAGGGCTATGCCGCGGTTGTCGCCGTCGGCTATCTCCGCCAGCTGCTGGACGGCGAAGGCGGGGTTGGTGGTGGAGAGGGTCGAGAAAATAGCTCCGGCGATGGCGGTTCCGGCGACGGCGGCGTTGTTGTTGGTGGTGGGGGTTTTGGCGGTGGGGAGGAGGGAAACTTGCTTGGTGGGCTTGGTGGAGATGGTGGTTTTGGGGTTTGTGTTGAAGCATTTGGCGTTGAGCATAGCCATCGATGTAGCCATTGTTGCTGCCATTTTTGAGCTTTTTTTTATTTATTTTTTATTGCAGAGTGTGTTTTGATTGGAAAATAGGAAATAAAGAAGAAGAGATGCAATCAATCAATGGTAAGAAGAGTGAGTTTTCTGGATTGTTCTTCTTATCCAGAGAGTGTGATTGGTGAGATATGCACCTCATATTTTATACCCCACACTGATTTTCTTATCACAATCTTTTTTTTTTTTTTTTTTTTTTTGTTTTATAAATTGGACTTTCAATTTTATTTTTTGGAAGTAAAATACTAAATACAAGATTTTATAAATTGGAAATAGAAAAAATTGACCCGAAAATTACAAATTTTTTCATCGTCTTTAAAATCATAATAATATTGAGATTTTATTAATATATTTTTTTGGGGGAAAAATGGAATTATTTTCAAAAAAATAAAATTGCATTGGATATTGAAATCTCACACATTATTTAAATTTGGGTAAATTACGAACAACCCCTGAAATAAGATCAAATTACGATAAGCAATCATCATGTTTGGATAATTACAATCACCCTTTAAATAGGAGTGTGAACGAGCCGAGCTCTCCTCTTTTGTCAGGCTCGAGCTCGAGATCGAGTCTATTTTGTCGAGCTCGAGCTCGAGCTCGTCGAGTTTCTTTTTTTTTTCTTGCTCGAGCTCGAGCCCAAGCTCATTTATTGTTGTTTTTGTTGTGTTTTTTAATATTTGTAATTATTATTTATTATTATTAAAAAAAATTATAAAATAAACAATAAATTGTAATTATATATATTTTTAATATTTTTATTTTATTTTTGTATATATTTTATAGTATTATAAATTATTTAAATAAAGGGTAAATTACGACCACCTCCCTGGGTATGACCAATTTATAAAAAATCCCTCTTGTTTGGATAATTATATCTACCCTTCAACTATGTTTTTTCTTACACCTCCACCCTTATGGTGTCAAATTCAACATAATCATCTAGATTTCGTGGAATGTGCTATAGCTTGTACTCGTTTTTTGTAAAAATATAGTTTTTGGTGCACCACAATCAGATATATACAAGCCAAAAAATACATATTATGATCATCTTGCTTCAAAATTTGGAGTTCGAATGGGATAAAACGGGTACAAAAGTAATAATATTCCATACAATCTCGAAGATTCCACTAAATTTGAAACCGCAAGGGTGGACATGTAAGAATAGTTGAAGGGGTGGTTGTAATCACCTAAACATGAAGGGGTTTTTCGTAATTTGACCATACCTCAGGTGGTGGTTGTAATTTACCCTTAAATAAAAAATAAGAAAAAAATAATAAACAAAGCTCGCGAGCCGGCTCGTGAGCTCACGAACAACTAAAAATTCGCTCGAGCTCGAGCTCGAAAAACTCGAGTCCAAGTTTGAGCTTTTTCGAGCTGGCTCATCGAGCTCACGAGTCGGCTCGACTCGTTTACCACCCCTACCTTCAACTATGTATTCTCGTACACATCCACTCTTATAATGTCAAATTTACTTACTGGAGGCCGAGTTTTTTCATAAGATATTACATAGTTGATGGGTGATCGTAATTAGCCAAACATTAGAGATTTTTTTGTAATTTCACCTGACCTTAAGGGGTTGGCCGTAATTTACCCTTTAAATTTCTATCCAATAATTTCAACAAATCGTAAATCGGGATATTTTAATTTTCAATTAAAAAGGTAATATACTCAAGAAAGAAGGAATCACAACAGACAACATTAAAAATTTCGTTCCAATTTTCACTCGCGAAAGTGTGTTTGTATTTTTGACCCATAAATGGGTTAAAAAAGTTCTAGCTTCTTGTCGATTTTTTTAGCCCATTTAGAATAATTGGGCCGATACAAAATTTTGAGTTGGGCTTACAGTTAGATTGCTACAATGGTTCAATATAATAAGCCCATACGAAGTATACGATGAAAAAAGGTATAGTTAGGTAAAAATAAGAAATAATGATTTTTGTGAAGTCAAACATAAAAAATAATAAAATAATAAAATAAAAATTAAATGAAGATAATATTTTAGTTGAAAATGGGAATGGATGGATGCCTTGTCGTGTAGTACAAGCATTACCAATTGTGACGACATCTCTCCGGTTTCCTTTTAATGTAAAAAAATCTGGGAGGGATCTAACGCGCGTAATTTCGATGTTTTTATATGATTCTGATGCATCGGTGCTGGTATAATCGCACCCACCAATTTCTAATATTTTGAACATCGAACGTGTCTTTTTCATCCTTAAATAACGTGTTTTTTAAAAGGTATCGATCGTACGAGTTACGACCCCAAGTCATGATCTTTAAGGATACATTTTGCACGATTTTTTTTTTTTTTTCTAAAATCTATATGTATTTCTTTATTTATTTTTCTTAATCTGATTTAATTTGAAACGGAAGTAGTATTTGTCAAGTTAAGCTATCTTTTTTTGCGTAGAAGATGTGATATGATTGCCTGTAATTAATCACCCTAATTGCTTAACTAACTATTATATCGAAATTAGTCTTTTAATGTGTAAATAAAAGAATATTAAATGGCCTATTTTCCGGGAGAAGAACATGCAAATTAATTAAGTGTAAATGTTATTTTTACCTTATGAACTGGGTTTATATTTATTCCTCCCTTGATGAACAAGAAACCAGCTGTATTGCTACCAAATGAATTTATTTCTATATATATATATATACACACACACACACACGTCTCTTAAGATTGCTTCAATATTGTTTAAATACAGTAGAATCTCGATGAATTAATACTCAGTATATTAATAACCTCGTTTGTCGAGTGTATATGGCTAATTGATTGTGAATTCCTTCGGTAAAAAAAATAATAATAATAAAAAAAAAAAAAAAAAAAAGAATTTACAAAATAATGAGTTGTCCTTTATGAATTAAGTAATGGGCCAATGGCCCATGTTTGTAAGGAATATGCCGAGTCCAAATATTTTATATATTAAATAAATGGAAATTAAATTGGATATAAAGCTCCCAATAATGGAAGGTGAAATTTGACTCTAATCTTTTTATTTTATTTTTTGTCACGCAAATAAATGTAGAGTTACTGGATTTAAATCAATAAAATAAGAACCTATCCAAAAGTGGGGAAGTTGGACCTATTGAATATTGACAGGCACAACCTATATTATTTATTTATTTATTTATTTATGTTTTTTTACTTGTAATAAATTGATTAATTTATATTAATTTATTCAAGTAGCTAGTTTAATCAAGCTCCCCTTTAGGTTGCACAAAGTCACCAACTTTGTTTCTTCGGTCATACTATTACTCTCTTGATTATGTTATAAATATTTTTTTTCATTATTATTATTGTCTTGAATGAAAATAATATTCTATAATCACAAATTAATGAAAATAAATTCCTAATTAGGATAAAGGAGAGATGCTATTGATTTTCATGGATAAAATCTATGTGTATCATTTTCATTATCTCCAACTTATATATACAAATAAATATAATTAAAATTCACCATGGAGCAAAAACTAACATGTGACATGAAGGTGAAAGAAATGACTATTTCACCCTTGGACCATGAAAACTTCCCCAAGAGGCTTATTCATAGAATTTGGTATCTTTCAATAAATCCCATTTCCCCACAATCTTGGTTTAGATTCACTCCCTTACCTTATCTCCACACATGAAATTCCCCACCCTCAATTCCGAGGTATTAAATATTTATTATTAAACACTAATAATCATCACTAAAACTTACAAAAATAAAAAAATGGGACCTTTAAAAACACCTAAGGCCTCGTTTGGTTGGAAATATTAGCGATTGGTACTTATTTGATATTTGGTAAACTCAATAACTTTTCGGCTCTCGACCCAAAAATATTATGTTATGATGTCTTTTAAGGAGCTTTTTTGGATCTTCTGGGCTTCGATAAATCCACTTATGGGGTTTGGTAAATCTATTGGATTTTTAATAGATTACTTATTGTTTTTATCTTAACTAATTCTATCTTGACAACCAAACGAGGTCTAAAAAACAAAATAGTAGTTGCCATTGATAAAAGATACCTAAACTAAACCGAGAAATTTCCGCACAGTAAAACGTGTAAATTTTCACACAGTAGGACGTGTAAATGTGTGAGTGTAAGCCCAAAGCCACAAAGCAAAATAAGCTTGACACGTCATCTCCTTTTGGGGTTCCCTTCTCAAACAAATTACATTCCAGGGGAAATAAAAATGCTTTCTTTCCTATATCACACACACATTCATTCACATACTATCTCATTTAGAACTCTCTCTCCTCCCTCTCTCTCATCTCTCTCTCTCTCAACAAAGAAACATATATTGAAAACATCCCATCAAGACACCATTTTTCTAACCCCCTTTAATTATCACCATCGCCTAAAAATCAAGAATTTATTCATCAAGAAAATCCCTTGATCGGATTGAAAACCAAATTCCCTTGATCAGAAATTTCTTTTTGACTATTTTTGGTGATTTTTTTTTTCTTTCTTTTTTTTAGCAGCAGATGTTACATGGGTTTTGAGGAATCTTGGCTCTCCTTTGCATGTAAACTTTGATTTTTTTATTTTTCTGATTCTTTGTTACTTGATCTGATTTCTGTGTCGGAATGTACAGAATCAAAGACTGCCCCTTTTTGTTTTTTTTTAACAGTTATTTGTGAAATTACACTTGATCTTCAGTGTTGATTGAAGAAACAATACTTGTTTTTTGTTGATCACTGAAGATCCTTGTTCATTTGTGTTGTTAAAGATTGGATTTTTATGGTCAAATTTCCTTGATCATTGTTGTTTTTAATTCAGAATTTTGATTTTTGACAATCACAAGCTTCTGGGATTTTTGTTAAGTGATGCGTGTTCATGAAAATTAGCTTTTTTTTCGGTGTGAAAAATCGGTTCTTTTTTCGGGCTTCTTTTGGTGTTGGAATATCCCTTTGTGCACGTTGTTGTATGCTTCATAAAACAGTATTCTTTATTTGTGTTGAATGTATTTCCCTTTTTAGATACTCATCTTTGCCGAAACTTCGTATGTTTTGATCAAATTTGCCCGTGTTCGAAAGTTCACTTCTTGTCTGTATCATTGTTGATTATTCACTTCCATTTGTAATGTGCTTGTCTGAATATGTTTGAGTGAGTGGTTTCGTATCTGATGCCTTATCTTTTAATCAAGAAAATGTGTATTTGACAGTTCCTCCTATGTAAACTTGCAGGCTCGGTACGAGATTCTCCGATCAACTAATAACTCGAAAGGTACCTAAATATTCCCATTCTTGAAGGCGGAAATTCGAAATGTGGAAAAAACAAAACTGCAATAGCTTACACATTTGTGTGGTTTTTTCAGTAAATTGAATCTTCGGTTGAGTCAAAAAAAAGGGCACTGCAAACTTATAGCAGTGGTGCCTCCATGGATGCCACGACTAGTGGAGCATCAAGTGTTCAATACCACGAGCAGACAATTACTTCGATTGTCAATTCTCCTTCGACGCATCAAAGGCAGCAACGCCACTGCTTCGGAAATGAAAGCCCGGGCGAATTCCCTTTATCCGCAAATCCATCGATCGTGCTTCATTTCCTAACGGGTTGCAATCTCGACCCGCAAGATCTCGCTAAACTCGAGGCAAGTGTGTTCAATTCTCAATTTTCAGACAAGTCCATCGTTTTGTTTTGACTGATAGAATTGATGATGCTGCTCATTTGGAACCCGTAAATTCTTGTTTTACGCAGGCAACTTGTTCCTTCTTTAGACAGCCAGCAAATTTTGCCCCCGATTATGAGCTCTCCTTGGCTGAGCTGGCCGCTCTCGATATGTGCCAAAAGAGAGCTATATTTAAACCGATGACATTTGAAGAAAGGCAAGATTTAAAGCAAAGGTGTGGTGGTTCTTGGAAACTTGTCTTGAGGTATTTGCTGGCTGGAGAAGCATGTTCTAGAAGGGAGAAAACGCAAGCAATTGCGGGGCCCGGCCATTCTGTGGCTGTGACTTCTAATGGAGCTGTGTATTCGTTCGGTTCTAACAGCTCTGGTCAGCTTGGTCATGGAACTACCGACGAAGAACCACGCCCCCGCATAATCAGGTTAGCCAAGAACAGATTTTTATAATCTTTTTAGGGCTTAAGGCCTCGTTTGGTTGGGGTGATTACCCATGATCAACTAAATAATTGAATTTCGTTTTATATTTGGCAAACCCAATAATTTTCCTGGTCGACCCCGGAAATATTATTTCATGATGCAATATTTCGGCTTTTAGGAAGAATATTTAGTAGACCTTGCAAGATCTTATAATACAATTGGGTTTTCGTTAGATTATTGAATCTTATTTTTGGCGATTCTTATGTTAGGAACGAAAACGAGGCCTAATTATACAGTTAAACCAGATAATTAGGCCTAATTGTTTCTAATATGACTTTGTTTTGGTGAAGATCCATGCAAGGGATTCGAATTATCCATGCAGCGGCTGGGGCGGGGCGGACAATGCTAATTAGTGATGCGGGTCGGGTATACTCTTTTGGAAAAGATTCATTCGGCGAAGTGGAATATGGTGCTCAAGGGAGTAATTTAGTGACCACCCCTCAGATAGTTGAGTCTTTGAAGGATATTTTTGCTGTGCAAGCTGCTATCGGAAACTTCTTCACAGCTGTGTTGTCTAGAGAAGGTAGGGTTTACACGTTTTCTTGGGGTGACGAAAGCAAACTCGGACATCAAACGGACCCCACCGATCTTGAGCCCCGTCCATTGTTGGGGGCCCTCGAGAATATTCCGGTGGTTCAGATTGCAGCTGGATATTGCTACCTTCTTGCTTTGGCTTGTCAACCTAGCGGCATGTAAGCTCCTCCTCGTTTAATTTTTTTTTTATTGGGATTTCTTTTTTTTGTTTGTTTAATATTTAGAGATAAGTACGGTATAAAAAATGATCTTTTTTAAGGGGAGCAACAAAATACTACACTGTTTGAGTTATAATAAATCTCTCCACAAAGTAGTTGATTTTGTGAAGAAGTGGGGGCCATGGCCCCCCTAGCCCTGTTTCAAGAATGCATGTTCAATTTGATTTTCCTTATGATATTAGGTTGATTTTTTTATGGGGGCCAAACAATACTACACTGCTTGAATTACAGTAAATCTCTACACAAAGTAGTAGTTTTGAGTAGTGGGGGCCATGGCCCCCCATAGCCCTGTTTCGAGAATGCATGTTTTTTCCTAGATAAGACTGAATGGCCCGAGTGATTAATTTTCAGGTCGGTGTACTCTGTTGGTTGTGGATTGGGCGGAAAGTTAGGGCATGGTTCTAGAACAGATGAGAAGCTTCCGAGATTAATCGAACAATTCCAAAGTTTGAATCTTCAGCCGATGGTGGTTGCCGCCGGTGCATGGCATGCGGCGGTCGTCGGAAAAGATGGGAGGGTTTGCACTTGGGGGTGGGGCCGCTATGGCTGCTTAGGCCATGGTAACGAAGATTGCGAATCGGCGCCTAAAGTTGTTGAAGCGCTGAGTGACGTGAAAGCTGTGCATGTGGCTACGGGTGATTATACCACCTTTGTGGTTTCGGATGAAGGGGAAGTGTATTCCTTCGGGTGTGGAGAATCTTCTAGTTTGGGGCATAATAATAATGCTGCTGTCGTTGCTGCTGCTGCTGACGAGCAGGTTCGAATCTTGATTTTGAATTCATTTGGATTCGAAGATTTTGAAATCGGGTAATAACTAAACTAATTTACACGATGTCGTTGTTTCCGATCTTTTTTTTAGGGCAATCGACACTTGAACGTGTTAACGCCCGAGCTAGTGACATCACTAAAGCAAGTGAAGGAAAAAGTCGTACAGATAAGCCTCACGAATTCCATATACTGGAATGCTCACACTTTCGCCCTAACCGAATCCGATAAGCTCTTTGCGTTTGGGGCCGGAGATAAAGGCCAGCTCGGCGTACAGCTCGTTGATAATCAAACGGAGAGGGCTAACCCCGAACGCGTTGATATTAACCTCAGTTAAGCTGCCGATGGTTAAATCCCGGAAGTTCGCTCACACTGTCGGCTGCAAATTCCCTGTTTATATTTAAATGTTTTTTTTTTTAATTTCGTTATTTAAATTATCGCTGTGTAAATAGGAAAAACGGTGATTGTGAATAAGGGTAGGAATTAGGAGCTGCAGAATTAACCTCATTAGAAATTCGTTAGCTCTTTGCCTCAACCGGTAAATACTTAGTTTCTAAAAAAGACTTGTTAAGGTTGGTTGGTTGGTTTCATGACTTTATTTACTTTGGTAAAAAATGCTTTCTTTTAACCATTTAAACACTCTTTTATTTATCTTTAATGCTTTGGATGTTTATTGGAACCATTTGAGTGAAGTTTATTTTCCAACCTATTTGTGTGTTTTTTATCCTTTTTATTTTTTCATTTAAATTACGAACACCTTCTGAGGTAAGGTCAAATTATGAAGAGAAAAATCCTTATGTTTTAAGTACATTACAATCACCCCTTTCAACTGGGAATCTTCTTACACATTGATCTTTGCGGTGATTTTTGCGGTGTCAAATTTAGTAGAATCTTCAAGATTATGTGTAATATTCTCCTGTTTGTACCCATTTTACCTAGACACGGCTATGGGCCGGTTTTGGGCCCGGAACCGGCCCGAACCGTTGACCGGTGAACCGGCCCGTCGTCCCCGGGATGGGCCCGATTCTATGAATTGGTGAACCGTGAACCGCCGGGTCGGTCCGGTGGTTCACCCAAATTTAAAAAAAAAAAAAATCAAAAAAATTGCCGGTTTTATTTGCTATTTTTTGAATTCCCCCCACCAACCCCCCCTTTTTTCTTATAAATACCCTTACACCCCATTTTTTCCTATAAAATTAAGTTAAAGTCATTTTATTTATTTCCTTTTGTTTTTTTTCCTATTTAAAAGTAATTATTTTAATTTATTTATCCATTAAGTTTTTTTTTTTAATATATATATATATATATATATATATATATATATATATAAATTTCCGGGCCGACCCGGATAGGCCCGGAACCGAATTGAACCGGCCCGCCGACCCGGCCCGCCGAACCGTGCATATTACGGGCCGGTTCCGATTCCGTAAAAAGTGAACCGTGAACCGGTATGAACCGACCCGGAACCGGTCCGAACCGGCCCATGGCCGTGTCTAATTTTACCCCCATTCGAGCTCCACATTGTGCAACAAGATGATTATAAAGTGTCTCTTAGCTTGTAAATATCAAATTGCGGTGCATTAGAAACTACATTTTTTCACAAAAGAGTACAAACTAGAGGACTTTGACACCATAAGGATGGACATGTAAAAGGGTTGTTGTAATTAACCAAACATAAGGGATTTTTTTGTAATTAACCTTACCTCAAGTGTAGCCGTAATTTACCCAATATATATATTTATTTATTTAAAAAAAAATCATTTTAAGAATTTTTTATTCTTCAATTGCTGTATTTCACAAATCGAAAGCAATTGATCGAAGAAAAATAGAATTCATTACAAACATAATACCATAAAAATAGTTGAAAAAAATGAAAACAACACAACAGCTGTTGATAAAACCATAAAAACAGAATTCATTACAAAATAAAACCCATCACAAATAATTTCACCCAAAGCGGCTTTAGAGAATCAAACGATAACAGTCAATCGATTCAGATTTAACTACATAAATATTCTCGCAAGCTATTTCTAAACATCAAAATTTTTTGCATGAAAACTAGAAGGAAATCAATAATCAGACGGTGAGATGACATCATCGATCTTTAGAATCATCTTAACAACTTGGGTAGCAAGTAGAATCTGCTGTTGTTTCCCTATCAACGTCTCGAAAACATTCTGCTCGCGCATGTCGTTTGTCCCCACGTCGTTGCAATCAATACCACAGTAGCTGTTGTTCTCCTACAAACGGAAAAACAAAACATATGTACTTTTAGTTTTCGACAAATGCTGAAATACCTCTTCACATTCAACCTAGAAATTATAAATAAATAAATAAATAAAAAAAAAAAAAAAAAAAAAAACATAAAATAGGGTGCGAAAATGGTTAAGGATTACGATTTACCTTAATTTGCTGAGATTTGACAGCGGATAGAGTTTCGATAGGCTGAAGTCCACTATTTTCGGCCAGTGCCATTGGTATAGCATCTAATGCATCTGCAAATGCCCTTATTGCATACTACAAAAACAAAAACAAAAAGTAAAAATTAACTAAATAATTAAGAAAAAAAATTCAAAGTTGAAACTTGGAACCATAGATACACACCTGCTCAACTCCTGGGTACTTATCTGCAGCTGCTTCCACGGCAATTGAGCAAGAAATTTCAGCTGAGCCACCACCATATACGATTGATTTATTACGGATAAGATTTCGAGCAACACATAGAGCATCGTGAATGCTGCGTTTTGTTTCCTCTATCATCATCTTGTTACCTAAAAGGAATTAGATTAATTACTATGAGATCATCTTTGAAATTATGTAAAAGAAGAAGTGGAGAAAAAGATAGGCATGGGACAGTATTGACTCACCACCACGTATAAATATGGTTACCGCCCTTGAATTTGCACAGTGCTCGATGTATATCATTCGATCTTTAGTAGTCCCAAAGGCTTTTTCTCGAACCAAACCAGCCTGACATAAATAAATAAATTGAGAAATACTTTACAATGTTACTATATATAGAGAATGGATGATAAGTGGCTATCTTACTTTGCCTAGCTTTTCTGTTGTCAACTCCTGAAATCTCGGTACAATTCTCCCACCTTAAATCAAAGTCGAGAAAAAAAAGCCAATACAAAATAAAAAAAATAGAAAAGGGAAATATAATAGAAGTGCTGAATTCTATTCTAGGAGTGCAGGATTCATAAAAACCTGTGGCTATAGCTATCAGCTCTAACTCCACACCACCAACCCATCTGATAGCAGGCAGATCTCTGTTCATTAACAAGTGGTTTGCCTCGTCATCGAAACCCCATTGGCAGATGACTAAAGTAGCCCCAACATCCTATGATCAAACAAGTTTTGGATTACACAAATGTATTTTATTTCATAAAATGTAAATCATATAGCCAATGTAAGAGCAAGAGTATTCAGGCGGGCAAACTTTTCAATTCACACGTATTATTATCTAAGATTCAAGTGCCAAATTCTACATACGATGGTCCTAGATTACCTTGCATTTTTGAACCATATCGTCGAAGTACTTCTGCTCTTGTTGACGTAAAGTCTGGAATTTTTCCACAGTATCAATATCAACCTTATGTTTAGTCTTGGGCTTCGGGGGCTCAAAGGGGCAAGTTAGAATAGCAATATTTGCATCCACAATTTGCTTCGGCATTTGCGGATGACTCATATCTTTGTCGACAATAATCCCATATATTAGTTCAGTGTCCTCCAGCTTTCCTCCCACTTTCCCCTCGACTTTAATTAAGTCTAGATTGACATCCCTCCTCTCTAAATCTGCAACAGCAAGCACTGCTTTAACTGCAATCTCCGCCAAACTGCGCTTGCACCTATTCACACTGCAAAAAGTAGTTTGCAATACCAAAACAGATCAATCACAAAAGCAAGAGATACTTGCAGAACTACAAGGACAATGGAGCAAACAAGAAGATTCATAAATTAAACCACAATGTTCACAAGTTTTGGGCTGTAAAACAATATGTGAAAGAAATGGGCAAATCAACGAATAATATCATGAGGAATAGAAATCCGAAATAAGAAACAATACTCACATCTTGGAGGATAAAGTAGTCATACAAGTCTGAATCAAGGGCTCAACATTTGCTGCGCTGAATTCAAACTTATTAGCAATCTGCTCCAAATGTTCGAAAGCAATCCTCGAAGCAACTTCATATCCTTCAGCGATTCGTATCGGGTGGATACCACGCTCCAATAGCTTCTCAGCTTGTTCTAGAAGTGAACCGGCCATAACAACAACTCCAGTCGTTCCATCACCGATTTCATAGTCTTGACTCCTCGACAACTCAACCATTAGCTTACCAATCTGATTGTCCACATCCATCTGCTCCAAGATCGTTGCACCATCATTTGCTGACAGCAAAAGAACACGAATAAGTAATTTTATCTCTAATAGATCAAGCTGATGTCGATTTTCTCGATAGTTCATTGATATAGATAGATCTGACTAGTTTCGAAGACCAAAAATTAGCCTTAGTGCCTTTAATACCATACCCTACATGAAACTGAAATTCACAAAATGTAGACAAGTTCTCATTCAGCCTTTTAATTCCAGAATACTAGGTTAAGTAAAATTAAAACCCCTAAGCAACAAATCAGTATTACGAAGTCAAAAATCCAAACCAAAACCTAATTTTTCCGAGAAAAACAGAAAATCAAGGATTCAAGCAAAACCACACCAACATAAACACAATAATAACAGGAGAAACGCTAAGCTTACTTATGGTGACTTCACCGTCAGGGCTCTGAAGCATCTTATCCATGCCTTTCGGCCCTAGAGAGGTGCGAAGGATCCGCGCCACCGCTTTCCCGGCGGCGATATTCGCCTTCTGCGCATCGAGGCCGCGCAATCTGGTTTTCTGGTCCTGCTCCCTTAGAATAATGAACGGTCGGCCGTACTCATCGAACGCCAGCGCCATTGTTCCGGCGCCGGTAGAAAAAGTAGCGGATCTTTATATGGATCCGACGAGGAAAATTGAAATGAAGAGTTCAAGGAAGGAGAGAGTGATGTGAGCTTTGGGGAAGAGTTTGAGAACAGATACTTTAGCCCTAGTAGTGGCAATTCCGAAATATTAATACTCATTTTTATTGTTTTTAAACTTTAATAAATAACTAAAAAAGGAATAGTAATTAACATTTTTCATCCTTTAACTATTTCTATTTATACTTTTCACCTTGAAATTGAATTTTTGGCCCTTTGTACAGACTAAATTAGTAAATGTCCAAGTTAGGGGTGCAAAGTGCTAATAAAGTGTAAGTAAATGGGGCAAAATGTAAGGGAACCAATTTTTATGCTCCAGTTGGAAGTAAGTATTAAGGCGTGGGGTCTGCTCTCTCCAGTATCATAGATCCAATATGTTACAGTTTGAACTAATGACGCGAAAACAACGACGCATTTCAGCCCACCTTTAATGTAGATCGCAAGTGCATGGGCCTGGTACATGGGCCATCAATTTGCCGTACCCATTTTTATATAAATTCGGATTTAGATCCAAATTTAATTTTAAAACATATTTTCAAAATTTTATATTTATAATAGTAATAATAATACTATTACTAAGCCTCGTTTAGTTGAGAAGAGTAACCATTATAAACTACATAATTGGACTTTGTTTGATGTTTGGTGTCCCCAATTATTTATCGGGTCAATCTGCAAATACTATGTTATCATGACTTATCTTGTCTTTTAGAGAGACTTTTTGTTGGACGTCCCGAGGTCCAATAAAATAATTAGATTTTCATTAGATTGTTTAATCTATCTTCGTTAATCTTATTTTGGCAACCAAACGAGCCATTAATTATTATTATATATTTTATATTAAAAGTGAATAATAAAAAAATAAAACTTTTGATTTTCGCTAATTTCAGTTCGAAAAATTCCGATACTGGAATAAGTTTTTGTTGTGATGAATTTTGGAATTTCGATTATCAAATTTTCATAATTATTTTTGAACATAATAATTGGATTTAGAATATTAAAAATAACCTATGCATTAATTAAAATATAAAATTAAATAAGCCTGGAGAGCATGATAAATAGCAAAACTAATGAAGATAAAATAAGGTGAAATGGAATTTTATTTATTCAAAGACTGCAACCCACAAAACTGTGAATTACATTAATGAAATTATAAGATATTCAACAATAAAAAAAAAAAATACATTTTTTTTTTTTTTTATATAAACTAAAAGAAATGGAAATAGAAGAAGATCCCTTCATTATTAGCAAACGAACTTTCCATTTCTCCTTATTGCATTGGTAGTGTGTACTAATTGATTCAGAAAAAGAATGCACCAACGAAGCTGGCGGCAGCGACTGCTCCGGCGACTGTGGAGATTGGAAGTGCAGCTGCGCCGCTCATAGGGGCGGGTGCAGGTGTGAGATCTGGGAAAACACCATCGGGAACAGGTCCTCCGACGGGGGCGGCGTCAGTGGCGCCGCCACCGCTGATGGTGCCGATCACGCTGCCGTCGTCACCGTTACCGGTGGGTGCCTCAACCACCACGTCGGTTGAAGGGGTGGTGGAAGGAGGGGAGGCGGCGGCAGAGGCCATTCCGACAACGGCAAAGAAGATGAGGGCGACGATGATGATTTGTCTGGCCATTTTCTTTTTTTTTTTAAATTGTTTTTTGTCTTTCTTTTTTTTTTTTTTTTTTTTGCAGTGAGAGTTAGATCAGATGAATCAAATCTTTCTCACTTTTTTATTGCAGAGAAGAAAGAATTGAATTGAATGTACTTGTCGGAAATGGTTGATGTTCTGGAGGGTGGGAGGAGGGTGTTTATATAGGGCGGAGGTACGGTGGAGATGGGTGGTGGAGTGGCGGATTTTACGGGCTGCGGAGGTACGGTGGCCATGCAAAGTTTAGACGTCCACTAGTTATCTTATAACAAAACCTTGATTTTCGCTTTACCATTAATTTTTTTTTAATTGGTCAAAAAGAAAAAAAAAACTTAAAATGGTTATTTGGTAATTATATTTGTTTTTAAATTTCAAAGACTATTTCAACTGCAAAGGCTATAAACTCGTTGAATATACTACAAATATAAAACATTATGATAAATCAAATTATTTGATCAATTAGAGAGATAAAAACAGACCTTACGATTACTGAACATGCGAAACAGCCGCCCTTAGCATTGTCGAAAACCTGAGCTGAACTCTACCGAATGTCTGAAAGAATATAAGAATCTCCGTTTTTTTACGCCTGGAAAGAAACTGCCTCCGTATAACTAACAATTTGATCGATCGACTAATTAATACATTCCTTTAAAAACTGGGTTCGTGCGGCATATGCTCGCTCCATATTCCTCGTACTCTGCTTTCGTATGACAAGCCTGTGTCGGTACAAAAAATATTGTCCAAATGTGTTATAGAGAGAGACTGAGTGAGAGATATTCTAGAGAGAGAAACGAAACATACTGTGAAAAACTCGGGGGTGGATGCAAGTACAGAGCCTCCAAACCAAACTGCACATTTCTGGATAGGATGGCTTACGACATTTACTTCAACAGGTTGTGCCTGGAGAAAAAAATCCCCGAATTCGAATTTTATAATTAACTGGTGAATGAAAAAGGCCCGATTTACCAAAAAAACAACGGAACCTTTAATTCTCCACCAAGCTTAGTATTAGAGGCAAGAACTCGAGCATCGACAATCTTTTTCACATCCCTTTGCAGCCTTCTGTGGAAGTCTTTGAACATGGTTGACCCTCCGGATAATACGATATTCTATATTATATTGTATCGAATCAGTTTCGACGCTTAGAGTTCAATAGGCACACGAATCAAATATAAAAAAAATGGTTATTGGTCAGTCAACTACTTTCGTGTCACCTTATACAACGATCTTCGTGTATCTATTGGAGCGGACTGAATACATTTGTCAATCACATCAGGCAGAGGCGTCGTAAAATCGTCACTGTAAATTTCAGGGTTGAAGAATATCTACGCAAGAAAGCATAAATGTAACATCAATATTTAATTCGACAAAAATATCAATTTCAGCAGATTTTATCGAAATGCGATAACACCAGACACTATGTGCTGAAAACGAAGCAAACCTCGGGGCCAAGGAACCGTTCATAGCCTATATCACAAGAATAAGGAGCCCCGGTTTTCGGCTTAGTACCTCTCCACTGCTTAACGTATTTTGCTGGCTCTTTGTCGTGCTTATTGAACTCCTGAACTCGTCAAAGAACATAATTAGAAAATAAAAGTAAGTAAAAATATTTCGGATATACACAAAATATTTAGAAATTATCCTCTAGTTCACCTTGACAATATCGGAACAAGTGTAGCAATACATTTCCTTCACTTTACGCGCAACCTCGAAGGAGTCGTCGGGTGGAACATGCTCTCCTCTTTCCTATTAAAAGTATTCGATAATATTTGACCAATTTTACTATCGATTGTAGAAAAATTGAAAAATCGTCGTACTTTCATGAGGTGTTGGATGAACCGAGTGACGTCTTTCCCTGCAATCGGAATCGACTTAATGCTGCTCCCGATAACATAACCATCTGCAACAGGGACAACATGAGTAGCCCCGTCTCCGATGTCCACTACAACTCCTGTCATTTCACACTAAGAACATGTTCCAAATGTAAGAAAAAAAACCCGATTTTTGTCTAAATATTTCATCCGATGTTATCCCGTGCTAGCTCATTTTACACACTAAATTTTAACATAACTCAATTTTACCTTGGATGTGGTATATCCAGCAGCCAATGCAAGAACAGGCTGCACAGCTATATAAAGTCCCGGAACATTAAAGGTCTCGAACATGATCTCTCCGGTGTACTCGCGACTCTCCGGCGCAGTCAACGAGCTCTCGGTCAACAGGAAGTAGTGATCTTCTGGATCGCAGCGTAGATAGTTAAATATACACTGCTGCCAGAACCTCTCCATCGAATCCCAATTATCAACCTGACCGTGTTTCATGGGATAACTCAAACTGTAAGTGGTGCTGGATTTAGATCTGGCGACCGCCTCTTCGCCTATGTGGTAATCGAGATCGGCCATCACCCCTGCGCTATGCTGCACCAGCCAATTGCTGCCCTTTGTTGAACCGGGCCGGGCCTGGTTGACGAACGACTCGTTTACTGCAACTACTGTCGGAACTGTAAAACAGGGCTCTACGTTTCCGGCAAAACCCAGTTTCGTGTACCTGAAAATAAGGTGGCAAAATTGAAATAAGCAAAGTGTACTCATTGAAGCATTTCATCAAACAGTTCATTCGCGATGGCAATCGAGAAAGAACTAGTCGACGGTTACCCAGTGCCATTGTCGATGACTACAGCAGGACGAGAAGTGGAGGATTCCATTAGCTAGAAGAGAAAAACCCGGGTCTGAGATTCTTGAAATGTGCTGAGAAAAACGGCGATCATGGTTGACGGCGGCGCGTGGTGATCGGAACGAGTCCGACGTGTCAACGGCGAGTAGTTGCAGCTACAAACAACAACGTCGGAGAAAGAAAACATCGGCTGATTAAGCTTTTCGTTCCGTCCATTTCATCGTTAAATCATGAAATTCATCACCAACTTCACAGCAGTTGGACTCAGGTGCGGTGTGAATTGACGGCGACTGTTTCAGACTTTCAGTCCTTTTTCTCCTTCCTTCCTTTTCTTAGTTCTTACTCAATTGAACAAGGCAAACGAATCAAATTGTGCGATGGGGTTTGATTGTTCTTTGGTTTGGCGTGAAGAACGGGAATAAAACACACAGTAGTTGGTCGGGATGTACGGACATTGGAGTTTGGAGCTTGATGTGATGTGTGCTGACGTAATCAAGTGGAAAAGAACAGACTTTTTTTCTTTCTCTTCTTGGTAATAAATACACGAGTTTGTTCGTATCTTGTGGTAATTTTATTGTTACTGCTGCAAAATATATAACCCTAACAATAATTAATTCAAAATTTAAATTTCGCCTCATTTTTTATTTTGTACATTTTTCATGATAATATAAATAATTTACAATAAAAAATAGTAAACAATAAATAAGGATAGAGTAAATTACGGCCACACCCCTGACGTAAGGTCAAACTACGAAAAAACTACATCAACTATTAATCTTCTTACACGCCTGCCCTTAGAATGCCAAATTCAGTAGAATCTTCTAGATTACGTGAAATATTCTCTAGTTTGTATTCGTTTTGTGTAAAATGCAGTTTCCGATACACCACAAGGTGATATTTACAAGCCAAGAAGCACATCTTATGATCATCTTGTTTCAAAATGTGGAGCTCCAATGTAATAAAACAGGTACAACAAAATGGAGAATATTTCTCATAATCTAGAATATTCCACTAAATTTTGACACTGCAAGGACAGACGTATAAGAAAACTCATAGTTGAGGGGTGGTTGTAATTACTCAAATATAAAGGGTTTTTTCGTAATTTAACCTTACCTCAGAGGGGTGGCCGTAATTTAACCATAACAATAAGCTCAAGCTCATAAAATAAATATTATTATAATGCTAATTTTTATTTATATGGAAGAGAAAATGGAAAAACAAACACTAGAAGAAATTCTGAATTACAAAGTAAACACAATACCCCTTACATTTTATTCTTTCAAACTTCAAACTAACATACTATAAACAAAAGCAAAAAAAAAAAAAAAAAAAAAAAAATACAAGATACCTATAAAACATATGAAATGGTGTAAACACTATCCTCAAACTCAAAGCTCATCCTTTGCCGATTGTTTCGGATTTGCCGATGAAGTCTTAACAGGATACGAAGCCTGCATAGCTAAGCCACACAGCCCTTCTTCTGCATTTATATCTCGTTGCATCCTGATATATCCTTGCTCTCCCCATTCTGCCCCCCACGAGTTTTTCACTATCCAGTATTTTGTACCGTCGACAGTTGTTCCATATCCTACAATTGCCACTCCATGGTCTAGCTCAGTCCCACAATCTCCGGTGAACACTCCCTACAAAATCGAGAAAAAACCGAGCGATTTATTAGACCAGTTCTTGATTCTACTCGTCCTTGTATATTCCGGTTCTATATACTCGTAGGCCGTCTCTAGCTATTTTGGGGCGCAAAGGGAAAAATAAATTGTGGGCCCTTTTCTCTAAATTTCTTTTTTTTCATAAAAAGATGATTATATTTTTTATTTAAATAGTGAAATTACTATAAGACCCCTACAAGCAGTTGCTTGATATCTTCTTGAAATCTTGAAATTGCCAATATCACAAGTGGTTTAAGAAAAGATAGGAGTTGAGTATATATGTGTGTGTGTGTGTGTGTGTGTGTGTGTGTGTGTGTGTGTGTGTGTGTGTGTGTGTGTGTGTGTGTGTGTGTGTGTGTGTGTGTGTGTGTGTGTGTGTATACCTCTGAGTAGAACTGAAGACTAGAACCACCGGCATCCATTGCAATAGATACAGGCTGGTTCGCGACTGCTTTCATGAGTGCGTTCTCGTTGTTCACGGGCACGTTTTCATGACCATCGATCACCACCGCCGGCGTATTAACCTAATTTAAAAAAAAAACCTAGTATACGTTTTTTTGTCTTAAAACAATTTCTGAAGATAATAATGTTTTCTTTTTCTCCCTTTTCCATACCTTTGCAGAATCACATCTCCCATCTTTGGCACTGTAAGGGTAAACAGTCTCGGTCGTAAGTCCGCCCTCTTTCTTGATGAACTCGTACGCGTTTTCCATTAGTCCTCCATTACAGCCCTCGTTGTCCTTTTCACAATCAACCAGTTCTTGCTCAGACAAAGATACTAAAGTACCCGTCTTAATCTTATTGATCCCTTCAACTCCGACAACAGTCGAAAATGCCCAACAACTACCTGTGAAAAAAATTCAGACAACACTCGGTAAGAAAATAAATCAGACATAAACAAAAAAAGTAAAAGTCGAAAAACTCACCGCAATTTCCTTGATTCTTGACAGGAGTAACAGCACCTTGTTTCCTCCAATCAACCGACGCAGGAAGATTATCGGCCTTTTCGTACATAAACCCCGTGTGGGCCCTACTGCCTCGGAGCATCTGGTGATGCTTGATTTTGGAGCTGTAAGAGTTTCTGAACTCATGGTTCGTCATGTCGGCAAACTTGTTGAGCTTCAGCTTGTAAGGCTTGTCCATCTGGTTCACCTTATGCACGTGCTGCACATTCGCTTTGAAAACGTTGAAGCGCAGTTTTTTCTCGGCTAAATCACGAGAAACCGTGTGGTGGCTCCTCCACCTCTCGTACAAATCCCATAAACTCTCGTCTGAAGCCAAGTCCTTCTCGGTGAATTCTATGCTTTTAGCAAGGCCAAGAACCATAGACAGGAAAATAGAAACGTAAAGAACCTTCCCTATACCCATTTTCACAATCTTTTCGTAATCAAGAAAACTTTTCTTTTACTTTCTTTAAATTCTATCTCGGAGGGTGGTGTGTTTATATAGGAACGTACGTTAGCTTGAAGATGAAACTGCATGCATCATTGTCGATTTCATACTAACAGGCTTTTTTGCTGAAATTAAGGGAAAGCTTTGTCCTATTTTAAGGATTAGCCTGCTATTTTAGGAGGTGAGTTTTGTATGTATATGCTTTAACATGCTAACAATGCTATGTTTGTTACAATTTTTCGGCAGACGATGACTCGTTCGTTTGTCTGTGGCTGCAGGCTATATATCATAAAGTGTTCTGCATTTTCCATATTTTTTCGATTAATTATGCAATTTTTTTTTTTAATAAATTTATTTTATGCAATTTTCCAATATTAAACTGCACCGAATGAAGTACAACGGGTACATTATCATTATTAATTCATGCACAAAAACAAAAATTCATATCAGATAAATTGTTCAATCTATAAATCATAAGAAATTTTTAGATTAAATCTTTCTATTTTTAGTAGACGAAACCTAAACGCAGAAACTGAATTTCGGCTGAGTAGATGACAAATTCATACTCTTTGAAATAAAATTCGCTACTGCAGTCGAATAAGTTACTATTTTGAAGTTTCCTTCTAGCTTTACTCGTAAACCTAAACGATTCTATCGTGATTATACATAGAAACACGCACGCGAACTTTAAAAGACTTCCGTTCCTAAGTGATTTGTAAAATGGATCAAATAAGTAGCTAAATCAAACTCCAATATGCAAACAACAATTCAGAAACCGTGCAAGTTGATTTTAAGTATGTGAACATTCATCGGTTTTTCAACAAAAGAACTTCTTGAACCAATCGACCATGATCTACAAAAGGTGTTCGATTTCGGTTCCAAAATTGCTTTAGAAAAAGACGAATCAAATCAAATAAAATCGGTGTTGATCAATATAGGGATGGTATAAGATCTATATTTTCCAGCTACAATTAAAAAAATATATAATAATAATAAAATGAGAAACATAGGACAAATTTTACTGTAATTGCAAATAGATCCCTTATCTCCATTCTCCGTTTGTTGCAAATATAGCTCCTCTCTCATCTTCCTCATCTGCAGATTAGGGCAAAATCAATCAAGGGATTAAAGTTTTCATTTTTTGGCAGAAGTTTAACCTAAGAAATAGATACATTCAAATCGATAGAGTTCGTATATATATATATATATATATATATATATATATATATATATATATATATATATA